TCCACCTGCACACATGAAGGAGGAGGAGGTTGCACGGCACCGGAGGCCCCGTGGGAGGTGGGGAGGGGGACATGCCATGCACGGGGTGGGGCAGCCGCAGTGGGTGGTGGAACAGCCAAAGCCGGGCGCCGCCAGAAGCCCTCCCCTGGCTATGGGCTCTGCAGGGGGCAGGGGAGAAGAATTATTTCACGGAATCCCAGGGCTCTGCGGAGCACCATTTTGGAAACGCTGCCGTAGGAAATTTGCCGGTTTCTAAAGTTTTCCGGATAGTTAAGTTCCAGATAGTGCAGATTTTACTGTATGCAGCACTAGAATACTGAAAACAGACACGCAAATTCCTGGTAAATTATAGACTCATAGACTTTAAGGTCAGAAGGGACCATTATGATCATCTAGTCTGACCCCCTGCACAGTGCAGGCCACAGAATCTCACCCACCCCTCTTAGAGTAATCCTCTCACCTATATCTCAGATATTGAAGCCCTCAAATACTTTGAAGACCCCAAGATGCAGAGAATCCTCCAGCTGTGATCTGTACCCCATGCTACAGAGGAAGGCGAAAAACCTCCAGGGCCTCTGCCAATCTACCCTGGAGGAAAATTCCTTCCCGACCCCAAATATGGCGATCAGCTAAACTCTGAGCATGTGGGCAAGACTCACCAGCCAGACACCCAGAAAGTTCCCCAGCAGGCTGGAGAGGGGCATGATAGTAATAGAAACAAATCTCTAGTTATGATAGTAATAGAATCAAATCTCTTCTCACTTAATGAATAAGGTTTTCTGTATTTGTCTCAGAGTGGTAGCCTTGTTAGTCTGTAACTTTAAAAACAACAAAATGAGTAGTCCTTAGGGAGGGGCCCTTTCACAGAGCAACAGCTACCTGCTTCAAATGGAGGAGTTCAGAGAGCAGTTAGGGAAGGGAGATGAGGAGGAGGCAAGGAGGGAGTAAATGGCTGGGGGGTGTTCAGGGAGAGGAGAGAGAGGCAGAAATCCAGCACTCTACTCAAGCCCTCTCAGCTGGGAAAGGGGCTGGGGGAGAAGCAGACTGAATAGGGTAGGTGGAGGAAATAGAGGATTCCACCCCCTCCCTAGGTAACCCTTTCCAGTGTTTCACCGCCCTCTTAGTGAAATAGTTTTTCCTAATATCCAACTTAGACCTCCCCTACTGTAATTTGAGACCATTGTTCCTTGTTCTGCCATCCGTCATACAGAGAACAGCCTCTCTCCATCCACTTTGGAACCTCCCTTCAGGAAGTTGAATGCTGCTGACAAATCCCCCCAATGCTCCTCCTAATGAACCCTAATATGCCATTTGCCTTCTTGGTTACAAGGGGATGCTGTTGACTCGTATCCGGTTCTCATCCACTATAATTCCCAGGTCCTTTTCTGCTGAACTGCTACTTAGCCATTCAGTCCCCAGCCTGTAACATGCTTGGGATTCTTCTGTCATAAGTGCAGAACTCTACATTTGTCCTTGTTGAACCTTGTTAACGACTTAAGATAAGAAATAAAAAGATTTTGTAACAGAATATTTTGAATGTTATAGATATATAGAACTCTGATTGTAATGATTTTTATAATTTTGTTAATCTAACATGCTATAGGACCACTCATGGTTTTTTAATTTTTTTTTTTTTTTGAGTTACAGACTAACACAGCTACCCCTCTGGGACTAATTGATACATGGTAAATTTATTGCACTAAGGTCAGATCTTTGCTCTCTGGGGGTACCTCTACACTGTGTGGCTATTTAGGGATACCAGAAGTATCCTGAAATAGCTACCCCATATCTTCACAAGCCGCCTATTACTTCAAAGTACTTTTAGAAATAATGGATGCATTATTTTGGCATCCCTGTAACCCTAGTTCCATGGGAGTTAAGGAGTGTCTCAAAATAGTGCATTATTTCAAAATTTGGCACTGTGTAGACATGTCAAATTTCAAAATAAACTCAAAATAGAATTGAAATAAGATATACAATTTGCGTAGCGCAAATTGCGTATCTAATTTCAAGTTTAGGGTGCTGTGTAGACACACCTTAGTAGAGCTCTGGCTCTTGAGTCAGAAATAGCAAGTACACTCGGTGTGGTACTAGTTTTGTAGGATGAAACCTTATTTGCAAGCTCTTTGAAACTTGGATCATTTTACAATCCCTGAAGCCATGTCTTAATTTGCTCTGAAACTTCTTGCTGAGTTGGTGACACACACAGTGAAAGTTTCAAACTAGGAGAACTTTTATCTGTTTTTACAGATCTCTGTTTCACTTGTTCTTCTATAGCATGGCTCCTAAATATTCCCTAGAAGCTGTGTAATCCTGAATGATTGTCTTTTACACTCCTTTCCAGTGTTAGTAAATATTATATTAATGATAATACTGATGAAGATAAACAAGGAGTAAATAGTTTTATACTTTTAAAACCAGCATCCCTAGGTAAAACCTGTTGAAGAGAGAAGAAGAATGAAGCCTATATAGATTAGTGGCAGGGGGGGGGGGGGGGAGAGAAGGGGATACTTCAAAGCGGCAATGCTGCTTGAAGCCTGAGGCCAGACGCTGGCTCCATGCGGCGCTGCAGCTTTGAAACGCTGCATGCAGCCCGGGGCCAACTGGATTGTCCCCAGGCTGCAAGCGGCGTTTCAAAGTGGCAGTGCCGCGTGGAGCCTGGGATCAGCTGAGGACTCCCCCAGCACTTCAAAGCGGCAATGCCAAGTGGAGCCCCCAGTTTTCACCCTAGCGCTGTTGCTGCAGTTCAAAGGCAGAGGCATCCTATTGACTAATCCAGGGGTTCCCAAACTTTTTGACACAGGGACCAGTAAATCCATTCACGAACTTGTGGAGGACTGGTAATGTTCATTTGCATATTTGCATATTCATTAATCAAATGAATATTCAAATAAGTTGTTTCTGGTCCTCCCAAAACCCCCAGTGCCAGCTTTAGCAAAGCTTTAGCAAACCCACAATATTCTTGCCAGCAAGTTAAGGAATATGGATTGGATACATGGACTGTAAGACAGACAGAAAGCTGGTTAGACCAGGGTTTCCCAAACTTTTTACTTTAGTTGGAACCCTTTTTTTTCAGTTCTGCTTTTTGCAGCCCAAAAATATAAACACACAAAAAACAAACTGAGAAAATACCAGACATGTAACATGTCTGGTATTTTCTCATTCGGTAAGTTGTATTATTACTAGATGTATCAGTTTGTAGTTTCGAACTGCCTGGCTGGTAAATGTGCTCAGGCTGCATGAGTGTGTCTACCAGCCAGACAGTTCGCAACTACTCGAAGGGTGTGGGGGAGGGGGGGGAGACAATAGAATCCCCGGGCCGGACTAACTCACGCTTTGTGCTTTGCGGGGGGGAACAGGGGCAGTGTCCCAAGATCTACATATGGCTGGGTCAGTCCCATTCCCCGCAGGCCGATTCATTCCTCCCCCTTCTTCCCCCCCGCTGCGCCCCCGGGCCCCCCCACTTTCCCCAA